ATAGTTGTGATCATTTTCATATCTGCTTCCTTCAGTCACTGTTACTAAACAAGTTGTGATTTTCCTTGGTAATGAGTTTGTGCCCTTGTCCCATGAGTCCTTGTCCCATGTCTTGCACTAAGTGGTATAGTTTGTGCTCTCTGGGGGTTGATCCTTAGTTTCTAAAAGTGGAGTGCCAAGGCATTTGGGAACAGAATCCCCACAAGGTGTCCCTCAGCCTAAGGACTATATCCTTAATGGAGCACTTGGGTTTAGATTCAGGCTCAGTCCATGGTCTTTCTGCCTCTAAACAGGATTACAATGCATTCATTCATGAATTCAGTTTATTCTTGGAGGACAAGCCCTAGAGCAAACTGCGGCTCTCGAGCCACATACGGCTCTTTGGCCCCTTGAGTGTGCCTCTTTCACAAAATTCCATGGCCGGGAGAGACTATTTTAAAGAAATGGCATTAGAAGTAGTTTAAGTTAAAAAAAATTGGCTCTCAAAAGAAATTTCAATCATTGTACTGTTGATATTTAGGTCTGTTGACTAATGAGTTTGCTGACCACTGTCCTAGAGGATAGCTGTTGGTGGGTTTGAGGTGAGAGTGGGGAGATCCTAGTTTTGCTGGATAAACAGTCAGCTCCCTTCAATTGCCTACCAAACAATTGTATCTTAAAGGAGTTATTTACTGGTTGAAAGATTTTCTTGTGTCCTTTGCTAGCTCATTCCTCTGCTGATTAGTTATTTGAAGGGACTTGTCCATTTTATGGGAGGGAAATTGGAGAGGGGACTTTGGAAACCCCAGTCTGGAATTTGGTTAAAATAGGGTGCTTATTTGTTATGATCTAGACACCCTTACATCCCAAGGCTTCTATAGGACCATTAGCTAATGTTTTTTGAAGCAATAGCAAACAAATGTTCACTGTGGTTAAGAATCTAGAACATCAGGCCCATATTTTCCTTTGAATATGAAATATTCACACTGTTGATTTCAGTGGAGTTGAAGAAAGTCATTAGGAAACTGGTCTTCCTCAGCTAAGCCTTCTGGGTCCCAGAAATTTACTGTCGGCATCATGGCCACCAGTCAGACAGTCTTTATTAGGCACCATGTTCAGGACCTTTTAAGAAAGAAGAACAAAGCTATAGGAATCACAATACCTGATATCAAGCTATGCCACAAGGCCATTGTAATCAAAATAGTTGGTATTGCTATAAGAGCAGGTATATGGATCAATGGAACATAGAGCTCAAGAATGAACCCATGCCTATAGTGGAAACTGATATTTGACAAAGGAGGCAACCACATATGATAGGGTACATTCTCTTCAATTGTAAATGGTGTTGAGAAACTTGTATGTGAAAAAATGAATCGAAACCACCAACTTATACTATTCAGAAGAATTCATTCAAAATGAACAAAAGACTTAAATGTAATTCGTGAAACCATAAAAATCCTGGAAGTAAACATAGGCCATAAAATCTAAGACATCTGACCTAACAATATTTTTTGCCGATATGTCACTCCAGCTGTGAGTCTGGCTTCTGGCTGAGCTGCCCTCCACCTATGGGAGCCCACTGACCACCCTGGGGGGTGGGGGGAAGAGGGGAAGCAGTTCCTGTGTTGAACTTCTGCCCCCTGATGTCAGTGCACATCACAGCGACTGGTTGTACTGCAATTCAGTCAATATTCATATTAGGCTTTTATTATAGGATAGCTAAGAGCTGGAAACAGTGCAAATGCCCATCAGTATAAGAGTGGATAAAATAAACTGTGGTATCCTATATAATAAAAGGCGAATATGTAAATCTACCAAACAGTAAAATAACCAGTCACTATGACACACACTGAGCACCAGGGGGCAAATGCTCAATGTAGAAACTGCTCCCTGGTGGTCAGTGTGCTCCCACAGGAGAGCACAGCAGCGGTGGTGGGAGCCTCTCCCTCCTCTGCCACAGCACTTAGGATGTCTGACTGCCTGCTTAGGCATGCTCTCCACTGGGAGTTGGCCTAAGCCAGTATTCAGACATCCCCTGAGGGCTCCCAGACTGCAATAAGGCACAGGCTGGGCTGAGGGACCCCCCCACGAGTACATAAATTTGTTACACTGTGCCTCTAGTCCTATGTAATAAAAGGCTATGCCAATTGACTGGTTGCTATGACATGCACTGACCACCAGGGAACAGATGCTCAATGCAGAAGCTGCCTCCTGGTGGTCAGTGCCTTCCCACAGGGGGTACTCTGCTGAGCTAGAAGCTCTGATCTAGGCTCACTGCTGGCAAGTACTGTGGTGGTGGCAGGAGCCTCTCCCATGGGGAGTGGGCCTAAAATATCAGTGAAGCATCCACTGAGGGCTCTCAGACTGTGAGAGGTCACAGGCTGGGCTGAGGGACCATCCCACTGCCCCCTGAATGCACGAATTTCAATACTGGGCCACTAGTATTAACATAATGGAATACTACCTGGCAGGAAAAGAGAAGGCATTCTTAACTTTTGAAACTGCATGTATGGACCTGGAGATTATTATTCTCAGTGAAATAAGCCAGTCAGAGAAAGAGAAAAACTGTATAATCTCACTTATATGTGGAATATAATGAACAAAATTATCTGTCAAACAAAATAGAAATACAGGCATGAAGACATGGAGCAGACTGATAGTTGTCAGAGGAGTTGAGGGAGAGGGGAATTGGATGAAATTAACTGAAGGGATTAGCCAAAGAACATCCATGCACACAGATGACAATGTGGTGAGGGCTAGAGGGTACAGGAAGGTCAGGTGCTGTGTGAACAGGGCCAAGGGAAGGAAAAATGGGGATATTTGTTCGAGTGACAACAATAAAATAAAAATTTTAAAGTATATTGGTATTTACAGCTATCTCCTCATAGGACATAAAGGACTGTTGTTCTCAGATGGCATGGAGGGTGAGGCAAGGGAAAGCAGAGTAATTCTGCAGGGAATAGAGTGCTTATGTGTCAGAATGAGGGCGGGAGATTCTGTGCAGCCTTAAAAGGAGGCAGCAGTCATGACCAGTTCAGCAGACCATGATCCAGGGATGGACAGGAGCTCACCCAAGGGAAGACCAGGGAAAGGGTGTTGTCATGAGGGAAAATGCTGGGACAAGGCAGAAATTCTGACACCAGGAAGACTCAGATATCAATAAACCTCAGACAATCTGCACATTATGCTTGATTCTCAATGTCACCTTCCTTCCTTAGGCCTGTTTTTTCCTGGGCTCCCGGGTGTCATCTGAAAGTGTTCATTCAAACTGAGAGGAGAAATTAATTGTGAGGTAGAAGGTGGGCCATGGGCTAGGAAGGCAGGAAATATCATGGACTCCTGATGAATTCGGGCAAGGGGTCAAGATTCCAGGTTGCCACCTACTAGTCATGAAATCCTGGGAAAAGTAGCTTGCCCAAGGGGCATCAACTTGTTCCTCTGTGAAGGAAGTGGATCTGATAAAACTTGTCTTGTTGGAATGCAGGAGAGTGTGGAGTGTTTGTAAAGCACTGAACACAGTGACTTGTGGAGATTGGAACTGTGATGAATGGCAGTGATATCTAATATCATTTTTATCCCAGATACTTCCACTCTGGTACTGTGATTACATGTTTGTTATGAAGATCATATTAGAGAATGTGCAATTCAGTAAGGAATAGAACACCCAACTGGCCAAAAAGGAAGTGCCCAATTCATGGATGTATGGTGAAATCAGGTGCGGGGAGACTTCACAGCTGGACACAACACAAAGATGCCAAAAAGAGAATCTAGGAACAAGTCTTTCCCTCAGTACTAGCTGCTCTTTCATCCAAACAAATGCTTTCATTCATTTCACCCCCACCCAAAATCAACACCTTGATAATGATTGGCTAGATCACACTCAAGATCATTAACATTCAATTCCAATTAAGCTGGGGGCTGTGACTCTCCCACACCATCCTTACTCATGGCCCAGTAACTGTAATTTTGTAGAAATCTGAGCAGATGATGGGTATAACATGCCTAGTGATCATACTGTCCAATGGCACTGAGACTGCGTGCAGGAAACCACCCTTCCTAACCACGTGGAGATTTCCCTCTGGTTTATCCATGATCCCAAAGGAACTTGTCAGGACAATGCTCCATTTCACACTTCCCTCTCACACCCAGACACACAATGTGTCGCTGCCACCCCCAGCTGTCTTACAATCAACCCCCACAGAGGGAATCACAGTTTCCCAAATACCCTGGCTCAGGCCATGCACAGTTGAGAGCTGTTCCCTGGAGGCTCACCGCCTCACCTGATGTTACTTGTTCTGTAGGACTTAGGGGACCCCTAACCCCTTGCTGATATGATTTCAGCTCCTACACCATCATCCTGTGGGTGGGTGTGCCCTGCTTATGTTGGTGTCCCCACTACTAACACAGGGCTTTCCAGAAGACATAGGCTCAGTGAATATCTGGGGATTAAATGAACCACTGAGCAGGGGTTCTCTTTATTCAGATGAAATCCCTCCACTTTATTTCCAGAACAAGGATCCTTAGACAAGTTGTTTCATGAAAAGATAGACAAGCAGAGATAAGAAGCAAAAATGAACAACCTTTTGCTTTTTTTATTTCTTGACTCCATTGATTGTACTGCCAAGTTTTTTCACATTTCCAAGGAAATCCTTTTATCATGCCATGTTATCTAGTTTGGATCACTAATTAGGATGGGAAGTGTCCCAACTTGCATTACACAGTAGCAAATCTCTTACTCTTGAGATGGACATGTACAAATATATATGTAACCAATGCCATTTATAAACTTACATGCTAAAAGCTTATGAAAACTTCCATGAAAAAGAATAGCAGTAGAAAATTTCCCTAAAAATTAACCAAGTAATATAGCTAAATTACTTCATTACCATAGGAGCCTAAACTATTCCTTAGGCTTCACTGCTTCTTTCCCCTCAAACAGAGTTGAAAATGGAACACACTTTATGCACATCAAATGAAGTTAACGAACACGGGCTTGAAAATTGCCTGTGTGCAATTCTGGCTTAGGCAAAGTGGTTCTCATTACACTCAGGCCCTTTAGGCAGGAATGGGAGAGAACGGGGATCCCAGTTATTGACCAGGAGCACAAAGTTACGGACTTTCGATATGGTGGCCTCAGCGTGGGCCCTGGGACCCCACAGGAACTCAAAGCATGCAGGATCACTGTTGGGCACTTGGCGGTACACCACATATTGTTCCTGCACCCAAATTTTAGTGATGAGCTCCCTGGGTTCCCCATAGATCCAATGCACATTTCCAATAGTCACCCCTAAAACATTCAGTGCTTCCCAGACTTTCTCTTCAGGGATACAATCACCCTGAGAAGCAATCATCCACAGAAATGTGATCAGGAGACCAATTTTGGGATATCTGTTCCCATCGCTCACCATGCCATCATAGGTGAGCCCCAAGGCGGTGACCATTACATAGGTGTGGGCACTGGGGCCCACTTCCTCCACAACTACACCAAAGACCAGCTTTATGACCTCAGTGGCTGCACTGAAAATCTCAGGGAAGTGGTCATGGTACTCTTTCATGACACTACTCAGCATTTCTGCCCTGGTGGTTTGCTCCTTTTCTCGATATTTCAGGAGCAGGAACTCCACCATTTCCAACATCTTTGAATGCAGTGCTTCTTGGAGCAAAATATCTGCATAATCTTGAGGGCCTCCCTCAGTGGTTGGACCCTCCTCATGGTTGCTGGATCTCACATCTTCAGAATGGCTCCATGGCAAGGCTGCCAGGGCATGAGGGGCGGGGCAGGCAACCTGAGGACTCTGAGGAGGACTTGGTGTCTCAACAGCAGGCACCTGCTCTAGGCTTTCAATAAACATGTCTGAGGGGGAGGACGACGGAGAGGAGTAGAGAGACACAGCCTCCTCCTCCTCCTGCTCCTCCTCCTCCATAATCCAGAAGAGGTCCTCCACCACCAGGTCAGGCATCCACCTTGGCTCCTGATGGTCTTCCTCAAAATTTCCGAGCTCACTCATATGATGGCCAGGCATGATGACTCGTGCTGGACAGTGACCTAGTGTGGGCAGAAGATGGACAATGAGGACCCAGGGGTCTGGGGGAGAAAGGGAGTTTGAGAGGCATGAGCTGAAAAATACACTCTAGGCAGCTCTGACAAAGGTGACTTATAGATCTCTCCTTTAGGGGTGTACATGGGCCTCTCAGGGCTCACTCCTGAGCATCCTGCCCACTAAGAACCTGAAGTAGGAGGTGACATGGCTGCTCAGGGTATAGAAGGCACAGTACAGGGTTTTGTAACTGATGGTGGGGTGTGAAGGTGTCAGGCAATGTGGGGTCCCATCTGACATGGATGGGGGAGCCCATGGGGACATATTCATGGTTGGGACCTCACCTTAATTCCTAACACTTCCTGGCCTTCTGCTGCTCTGTGACCTGAGAATATGTAGGGAAGACCAAGGCCTTCACATCCTCCAATCCGCGGGCTCTGCTTGAGGGAATGAATAGCCACCTCAGTAGGCACATGGAAAGGACAGCAAAGGGACCCCAGTGCTAACAGGAGTGGTGGCAGAACTCTGTGAGGCCCCCTCTGTTGTGGTTGGAAGGTTCATCATTGTATATGTAGGATATTCCCGTATACCCTGCCAGTGCCTGGCCTCTCACTGCCTTCTGCTGGCCTGAGGTTAAGCATTCAGAACAAGACCACACACACCTGACACTTCAGTGAAGAAACAAAGGGGGGCCCATAAGTGGTACCTCTCCCAGAGGGTCCAGAAAGGGTAACTGAAGATATGGGTTCATCTATCCTGGGATAAGGCTCTGATCATTTCTCACCATAGCACACTGTAGAGTTTCAGACAATTCTCTTTGCTGACTGAGACTATCTACCTAGACTTAGGCTTCACCTTCCTTAGATACAGGAGTAGGAAGTGAGCCAAGCTAACCCAAGCACTATTCTGAGTTTCCTCACTGCTGACAGAAGAGGCAGGGTAGGACTGGATTCCCATGTGCTCTTGTTCCCCTCAGTGCTCACCTTGATTCCTGGCAGGAGCTGGAACTCGTGTCTCTGTTGACAAAATATGGACCCAAGGGATGACCGGATGGGTAGTCTCACATCAAGGTCCTCACCTTCCTGAGAGACCTGAGACAAAAGTGAACAGATGCTCCATCTGCCCCCACCCCTGTCTAGGTTCCCAGGCAACTGACACCTAGGCCTGGCCTGTCTGTTCCAGGTACAGAGTTCCCTTAGTCTGGCCTCAAGGTACTTACCTTTCTTCCTGGATAGGCCTGGATCTGAATCCAGCTGACCCCATTTCACCCTGAACAACTGTCCTCAATGAGAAATGCTCACGAGGAGCAGGCATGTGGAAAGGGAGAGCATGTCACACCCAGGTACCCTGCCTGGGGAATCTGGATGCTGAGGACAAGACACTCCCTGATGCTGGGGGCTTTCTTGTTTTCTCAAGGAGCACATAGCTGCAGTTTTCCAGAGAAAGCACTCAGACCATTAGGACCCTTCACCTCCTCTTTTCCTGAATTCAAGCCATCCCCTCTGACCAAGGCCCTGTCCTTCCTGAGTGCCCTGAGACAATCACAAGGAGGAACCACCTCTGCAGACCCATGCCAGGCCCTTCCCAGGGCTGACAGCAGCACAGACTGGGTTCAGGGCACCCATTGTCTGCAGTGTGGCATCCTCCTTCCTGCCCAAGCTTCCCATGTTCACTCGTAGCGTGCCTGGAACCTTTCCCTTCTCCTGAACTGAGAATGACTACTGCAGGCCAGTCCACCATCTCTCTGAGACCTCCAAGGTGAACTTGAGGACATACCACATTGACTATCACGCCTGAGTGACCCAGTTGTGCCAGGAGAAGCTATGCCAGCTGGTCCCTGTTTTTGTTGGGGTGGGAGGTACCATCATCCTGCCTCAAGACCCACACTTTGAATACCAGCAGTGCCTGGGACACCTCCCATTATTGTCCTGAATCCAGCACCTTCGTGACAATGCACTCACCTCCCTTTGCCACTCCTGAGGTAGAAGTGTGGAAGCAACCCAAACTCACAGGCCTAGCATGAGTCTTCCAGGTGCTGCTGGCAGGAACAGGCGCACTGAGGACACTTATGACACTGGCCTAACCTCAGGCATAATTCCAGGTGAGCCCTAACTCGAGTCCTTACCTGGTGTCCTGGGAGAGCCCTGCAGCCCTTCTTTTCCCTCCTGGAGCTGACCCCTCAGCCCTCAGGGAATGAAGTCCCCTCTTCTTCTTGAAGGATCCTCACGTGACTCCTGGCTGGGGCTGTAATCTCCTCTCTGTCAACCTGAAATGGCCAAGTCAGGAAGAAAGCATGTGGTCATCGATCAGTGGCCTCCCAGGTTTCACAGTAGGGGTAACATGGGGCATCTCTGTTATGGGGTCCAGAGTCCCTCAGTCTTCCCTTTGCATGTTCACCTTGACTGGGCAAGACCCCTATCCTTCCCTCTGCCACATATGTTGTTCCCCCTGAATTCCCTGGGCGGACATCAGGTCTGGGCTTCTGTGGTTACTTTCTGCATGCCCACCCACCACAGGGCCTCCCAAGACCTTCAGCAGGGCAGACTTCGGTGGACTGCCCTCTACTTAGGGTTGCTGGCTTACCTCAGTCCTCCTTTGGAGCCCTCCTTGACCCTTCCCTCTGCCCATCTGAGACCCAGCTCCTTATACCAAACCCAGAGCCTGTCAGACTTGGATGCAGAACTCAGGAAAAGCACCTTGAGTCTGGGCAATGCCTCTGCATCCCATCTGTGGACCTGAGGCCCTACACTTCTTACTAGATTTCCACTCTCACTCAGACCTGAATGCTGAAGTCAGGAGACACCACATGTGGTCACCTTCCCTGGGGCCTTCCAAGGCTGGGAGCAATGTGGGGTTCTGTGTGGGGCCTCTACATTGGGATTTTGGGTCCCCTCAGTCCTGACACAGGGTCCTCACATTGACCCTGTTAGGCCCTGGGTCCTTCCTCTGTGCACCTGAGGCTTATTCATTATATGCTCTCAGAGCCTGATTTGAAGGCATCATATGACACTTGAGTCTCAACAGTACCTCTACTCTCCCCATTTTGGACCTGAGTTCCTACACCTTATACCAAGTCCTGAGTGTCAGTCCTGGATACAGAAGTCAGGAAACTCTGCACTTTGTCTTTTACCAGGGATCTTCCCAAGACTGATAGCAGGGTAGGGTTTTATGGGGTCCCCTAGTTGTGGGGCCCTGGGTGCCCTCAGTCGTCCTGTGGCTATGCTCCTTGCAGTAAACCACAGCGTATCTCAGACCTCCATGAAGAAGACAGGAGACAAATGAAGGGGTCATCTGACATGGGGTCTCCCATGGCTTATAGCAGGAGAGGGCTTATATGGGGTCCCCTTCATTGTGGGGTCCAGGGTCCCATCTGTTCTCCTTCAGAGGATCTGTGGCTCTGCTCCTTACACTGAACTCAGAGTCTCTGAGACCTGATGTAGAGGTCACTCCACCCTATAGTCACTCCGCGCACTCATCCTCCCTAGACTGACAATTCTGGTGTCCAGTGTCCCCCAACCTCCCTTAGGGTCTTCAAATTGACAGCAGTAGGACCTGGTGTCCCCCGGCTGCTGCCTGAAGCCCTGCTTCTTCTATAAAACCCGGGGTGTACATCAGACCAAATGCAGAACTCACAAAGCTCAATGTGTGAGGTCACCCCTTCCCCACCCGGGAGACCTGCCCATGGACACTCTTCTGGGGTCCAGGGCCCCCAACCTCCCCTAGGGTCCTCAACTCTTCATCAGCAGGACCTGGGGTGCCCCCTTTTCTGCCTGTAGCCCTGCTCCTCCTACCAACCCCCCAGTGTCTTTCAGACCGAATGCAGTGTGAGGTCACCCCTCCCCCACCCCTGGAGGCCTGCCCATGGACACTGTTCTGGGGTCCAGGGCCCCCAATCTCCCTCAGGGTCCCCACACTGACTCCGGGCAGGTCCCGGACACCCTCTGCCAACCTGACACTTGGCCATGACACGGAGCCCCTGAGTGTCTCCACCAGGAAGAAGTGGGAGTCAGTCCTCGCAGCTGGTGGTCACCCCGCACCTTGGGGCTCCAGGGACTGCCTGCTCTGAGGCCCGGGGTCACCTTGTCTCCCCCACGAACGGAGGGCCGTCACCATGAGGCCTGCAGGCTCTGGGCCTTCCCTCTGTGAACCGGGAGCCTGACCCCCACACGGAGCCCTCAACCCAACACCCGAAGGGCGGTCCGTGGGCCTCACTGCCCAGGGCTCCCGGCAGGGGCTGAACTAGACCCCAGGGCCTTCAGTGGGGTCCTCACCCCGGTTCCAGGCAGAGCCTGAGCCCCGCCGACCTGAGAGCGCTCCCCTCAGCTTGTTCCCTCCGCCGGCCCGAAGCCGGCTTCTCAAGATGGCGCTCAGCTCCCTGGATTCTCAGCTGGACGTTATGACGTCACGTCCGGGAACCACTTTTGGGGTCGCCCCGGATGCTGTCAGGGGCGAAGTTCCGCTCTCAGGTGCCCAGAGGCACCGACCCGGTCCCCACCTGGGCTGGATGGTTGGGACTCCACCCTCTGTGCTGACCGGGGTCTGTGCCCTCAGGCCAAGTTTGGGCCTCCCCCAGGCCCTCAGGAGGTGGGGCGGGAAAGCACAGCCTGAGACCTCTGCCTGAGGCACCCTGATCTGACCCTGACTGCCGCCCCTCCCCCACTTCCCATGGTGTCTCTTCACCAGACAGGCTGACACTTTGGAAACCTTGTGTTCTAAGTGTTCGTGTTCATTAAAGTCTCTGAGCTGTAGCAGAGGTTTGGAGAGGGCCTGCGGTTTGGGGTTATCTGTCTACCTTTGCTGGTCATTGCAGACATTTTCCCTTTTGATCCTCATTCATAGTAATTATTGGGTTTTGCAACTCTACCTATTTTGAATACATTTTATTTATGCATACATGTTTATATATGTATATATGTATAAATCTGCACATATAGTGTATGTGTACACATATAGCCTAAATGTGGATCAGG